GACAGTGAAACATCCATAGAAATGTCACACCTTTCTGTATGTTGGTTATAAAATGGTACAAAGTCATGAAAAAGAATACAGAATCATAGAATCCCTACAGTGTGAAAGCAGGCCATTCAGCCCATCGAGTCCACACTGACTTTCCGAAGAGCATCCCACCCAGAACCACCCCATCTCTATAACCCTGTATTTCCTATTGCTAATCTACCTAGCCTGCATATCCCTGGACACTATGGGTAATTCAGCAAGCCAATCTACCTAACCTGCACATCTTTGGACTGTTGGAGGAAATTGGAGCACCCAGAAGAAACCCTTGCAGACACATACAAACTCCACATAGACAATCTCCCAAGGGTGGAATCAAACCCAAGTCCCAGGTGCTGTGAGGCAGCAGTACTAACCACTGAGCCAGTTAAGGATGGAAAAACCCAGGTAGCACCTTTTTGTTGCTTCTTAGGGGTTCTTAGGTGAGCTCACATTTTGCAAGCAGCAAAAAGATGCTGCTCATTTCACCAAAGGACCCCATTTCCACCATGCTTTTCCTGTCCACGAGATGTCGGTGAGGACAGATCAGTTTTCGTGAGCTGCAATGTAATGCATAAGGATTGTGGATGTGGAGGCAGGCTAGTTAGAAAGTCCACCTCCCTTCTGACAGTTGACAGCTCAACTCACAATATTATTCATATGCTTCCCAGAGCCATACACCACATCCTATGTGACTGTTCACATTCCCCGTGTTCACTCCATACCTTCTTGTAACCTTTCCATGATTCTATATGCCTCTTACAAGGCTTTTATATCCCCTTCAAGGTCCATACAAAGGTTTTCCAGTTCAAGACTCAGGTCCCTGGCAGAAGGCAACTCCCTCTCTGCCAGCACATCAGGCAGAGTGAGTTTTTTCTCCAATAGTGTTGTTTCTCTAATAGATCTAATAGTGAGCCTATCAGCAGCAAGCCTGGAAGAGAAACAGCCTGTGATTGGAAGAGCAGGTCCTCGCTGATTCTAATAATGAGGGAATGGGAGGAAGTAGGGGTGCCTTTTCTCCAATTGGTGCCCTTCCCACCCAGTTCTTGAGTTTTCCCAGCCATATGTTTTAGACCCCTTGAATGTGTTCTGAATATTTCCGACTCATGTTGTCCTTTAGTGAACCTATGCCTGCCTGGGAGGGAATGTGGACAAGACCAGATCACCACTTTGCATCCTAACTGTCCAAACCTATGGCCACAAGTACTCTGGCTGTCACTCCAGGAAAACCAGAACTCAAGCACTGGAAATGTATCACAGTACAGAGTGAGCACTGAGCACTAGTTTGAGAGTATTCAATCCTTCAAGGGCAGGAAACTGCTACTCAAAATAGACTCACCCAAAGGCACCTGTCACATTAATTAGCACAATATACACTTCATTCTTCAGGACCGGACTGGAGACAAGTTAGGACCATTAAAGTAATGCGACGGCTTATGATCTTGGACCAGCCTGCCAAATTTATATACAACCTTTTGATTTTAAAGTAGACAAAAAGTGAGATCCTAGTACCTGCTATGAGAACAAAGCTATGAGATTCCACAGTTTTGAACAACAATAATAAACATTACTATATAAAGTTACAACAGTAGCACAATCTACAATGTACGTGCACATAACTTGGATTCTAGCATCCAGAATTAACATGAAGCAAGTACAGGTAATAAACTGTGATTGAACAACTTTACAGAGCACACCCAGCAGCAAACCTAATCAGAACCAATGGATTTCTCAGATACTCCCGTAGATGTAGTGAATTGGTTGGTCATTAAACCTCATGAACACTTCACATAACCCATCTGGTTCATCATGTCCTTTAAGGAAAGAAACTGCCATCCTTACCTGCTCTGGCCCACCTGTGACTCCAGACCCACAAGCAATGTGGTTGACTATTAACTGCCTTCTGGGCAATTAGGGATGGGCACTAAATGCCAGCCACACCCTCATCCCATGAATGAATAGGAAAAAAAGATTACAGTTCTACATTTTGGTGATCTAGCTAACTCAATAAGCATTCACGTTCCGTTCATTACATTCCTTTCCTGGGATTACACTTCCCTGGATTCTGGAAGCTGCACCTCAGCACTGACAGGCACAATTCCAGCTTTTCACCAAGATAGCACTGCCTGAGCTCTAATCTTGCTCAGTTGCATCAAATGGCTCCTTGAGCTCTTTCCAGGATCATAATGGCACTGAAATTATCAACTATTCTTGGACTTTTTCCCGAGACTTGACATGGAACCATTGAGCTGAGTTGCCTACTCAGCAGTCCAGCAAAATCAGAAACACTGGCTACCATAGAGCTTGCTTCTTTCCTTCTATCTCTCTCTCACACATACACACACACACACACACACACACACACACACACACACACACA